TCTGTGATTATGATCTGATAAATACGAAGACCATTGGAAGCAATCACGTAACTAAACAGCAACCATTCTCTACCGTGTTCACATGGGGAAAGTCTTTGTGAAAATTCTCCCATTCACAACTCCAAAGCAATGTGTTCTTGTCCGCGGAAACGTTGCCATCTTCAAAATGATTTGGCGTCGGTAAATTTTCGAGTTTTTCTTGCTCTGAAATTTGTGAAAACCGAAGGGCTTGGTATGCAGCGAGAATCCTCCCTATTCATTAACCGAAAACAGTTTCCTTAAGCGTATTTTCTATCATTGTCAAATTTCTCAATATTCTTGGAATAAATGCAAGAGTTTCCACAACTTATGAGGCTGAGCTTCTCATCGAGGAACTATCGCACTGACTTGCTAACACGAGTGCTGCGATTCAACAGGATTTGATATATTTATTTATGTGATCTTATAAACTGACCTTCTTAAGCTGACGCGAGGTTGGTACAGATTTTCGTTGTCGTTGCTTTTGATGTTATTGAGCGATGGCTGACGTTTCGGCGACTTCGCCTTCCTCAGAGCCTGGACATACTTTATGTTAGAATACTTTTTATTATTCGGTCGAAAAGAAGGTTAAAGTATTAATGAAGATCAAACTTTCGAATAGACGCCATATTGAACAGAAAGGTCACTCACCGTGATGTTACGTGCGGGACTGGTCCACACGTAGCTCACGCGAGCAAGACACGCCCCGGGGTCAAAATATCATTTTGAAATAGGGCGCCAGGTCACGCGTGATAGTGAGGCATTCGTCCTTCCGGTTCATCTTTGGATTTTTGAAATTTATTTTTGGATCCTAGGGCAGGAATCAAAAACATCAACGCGCAAAGCTCTTGAGGCGTTTTGGATAAATTTCAAAAATCCAAAGATGAACCGGAAGGGCGAATGCCTCACTATCACGCGTGACCTGGCGCCCTATTTCAAAATGATATTTTGACCCCGGGGCGTGTCTTGCTAGCGTGAGCTACGTGTGGGCCAGTCCCGCACGTAACATCACGGTGAGTAACCTTTCTGTTCAATATGGCGTCTATTTGAAAGTTTGATCTTCATTAATACTTTAACCTTCTTTTCCACCGAATAATAAAAAGTATTCTAACATAAAATATGTCCAGGCTCTGAGGAAGGCGAAGTCGCCGAAACGTCAGCCATCGCTCAATAACATCAAAAACAACGACAACGAAGATCTGTACCAACCTCGCGTCAGCTTAAGAAGATCAGTTTATAAGATCACATAAATAAATATATCAACTATCTATGCCGAGGTTCGTAGAAAGTCGGTCTTTCGAGGATTTGATACCTTTTGGGATTGCTCGGTCTCGTTCTGTCCGTCAAAACAAGAACGTCTAGGAGAAATCTACTCCTTATTGGATTTTAATGTTCAATGTGTAGAAGTTCAACCTGAATTTAGCCATAAGAAACCACCACGGTGTCATTCGCAGGTCTCCTTTCGCTGCTTTCTCTAGTCAGCTGTGCTAATCTTTTGTTTTGACAAAGGTGTACTAAATTCATTTGTAAGGAGCGGATTAATGGCTTACCCATTTGATGACATTCCGCCTCATCATAAGGAATTTGGAATAAAGAGATTTTTCTTGACATTCTGTAATTTTTTTTGACTAATTATACTAAGCTAAAGCCGAATTCAGAAAGACTCTCTTTCTATTTGATTGAAAGCTTACAGAAAGTTCTAATTAATTTGCATGTAAGGAGTAAAATACGGACTACCAAATCTCTTAGGTTGAACCAACACTTGGTCTTCAGGTTTTAGGTCTCATTGAAATCTACGGGAGCTGACCGTCACATTCTGAAGCGTAAGATTCTTCCTTGCATATTCCTGCAAATACACAGAATTAGCTGACTAACTTTCTTACTTAAAATCTGGGAAATTAGGATGGACCTTAGCCAGCATTCACGCTTTCAATTAAAGTTCTTGTTACTACGCTATTTCATAACGAGATATACGATGGGAATTACGATTGCACAACATTCACCTCCTTTACACAACGGTGTTTTTAATTAGGTTACGTTAGTCTTAGTAAGGTTATATTTAGAGCAAGCAACGTTGTTTAATTGAAAGTGACATCTTTAAAAATGCAAGCTGTGCTAGTTTTTACAAAGGAAGGAAACGTTTTCGTGAATTTACGACTCCAGTTTGTTATCTCTGAGAAATTTTGTATGAACACCTGCATCTTCAGTCAGGACAAATAGTTTAACAGTTTCAGAAGTTTTTCTTTTTCTTCACTTTCTTTTTTCATCTTATTTATCTTTATTCAAATTCTCTTCCATTGGCGACGTTGCTTGATTTCGCTTTTCGCTGCATTGAACCATTGCTAATTTTCAGCCTTGACGGACTTAATTTTTTGAAAACAGACAATAGTTCTCCATGAATGTACGACTGAAGTGCTCGCGAACATGCAAGAATTGTGGAAACGACTTTGCTCTATTGTTCTGAGTGTATGGCTAGTATGTACGCTACTGTTTACTGTAGTTACTGTTACTATGGTCGATTACACAAATACGTTGCTCTCGGCATTTGGAAATATTTTGCAGCTCTTGCTGTGTACATCTCAGGATTTTCGTACTCGCGCATTCCATACAATAAACATAGCAATTAAAATGAAACAACAGTTAATCATTAAACATTGTAGTCCGAAGGGACCCAAGTTGAGCCCGAATCGGCCCGACAAAGTCCGCACCGCATCCGCGACAAGCAGATGGGGCCGCATTCCTCTCCTCGGTCAGAAGAACGAAGGCGAACCGACACCATTCCTCACCCAAAGAGGAATGGGTTCGAAACAACAGTTAATTGTTATTGGAAATGCCAGCTAATTGACTTTGTCTGGATAAAGATTTTGTGTAAATTAATAGATGTAGAGAATATCTTTTTACCTCATTCCTCTTGCCTTAAATTGTTTTCGATTAGCTCTTGAATATACATATTTTGGTGAAAAGTTCGGGAATCCCTTGAACCGAAGGTGGACACTATGGTTTTCATACTGATTGTCATAAGTTCTTTTATACCGATTGCCTTAAGTTATTTTTCGTAGAAACCTTTAGGGAGATAAACTGGCAATTTATGAGTACTGTAAAGAACGCCTCACATTTCATCGGCAGAGCGTCGGTGACTGACTGTTTGTTCATCGGTCATCGATCACAGTGATTAATTTCTGACTTCTTGTTTATCAGTGAAAAAGACAGCATTGCTTCTTTATTTAGAAATCTTGATTGATTGGTAAGAGGGTGGTCCTAATCGTTTCATCGAACATTACTCAACATTTCAGATAGACTTTGTAAATGCACAGGATATTTGTGTGTTTTTTGATTAGCTAATACAGTGCTTATTCCAGCTGTGTGCACTGCATAGTGCCCGGAAGCCTATCGATAGTGTCGAGGATCCAGTGAAGATTCTCCTCACCGAGCTGCTATGCACATGCGAAAAACGAATAGAAAGTATAATTTTAAGATCGTCTTTCTACAGTTTAATTCAAAGAGAAGGAATGGTATGATTTCATAGCAGACAATCGTTACAGCTATTCATATGGGCGTTGAGTGATCTGCTAAAGACGTGGAAGAGGGTTAAGAAATTGCTGAAGGTCTTTATGACCTGGTTGATGCAAGCACTCAATGAATGCTATGTGTGTCACATAGTATGTGTAACCAAAACTTTTGAACTTATAAAAATATGTGAGCTTACTTTACGAAAACTGTTTGCTGCATTGCTGCTTTGGTATTGAAGTCGAAGACTATCACGAAGAATAAGAGATTATATGATTGAGATAAAATGCAGTACACATTCAACTGAGCGAATTAACCACCCAATGTTATTTCGACATTCGACTGAGCTAATCTGAAATGCAGAGGAGCACATCCGACGGTGAACGTTATACAACCATAATGGTACTGAGATGCAACCAGATGCACAACTGCTGACCGCAGGTTTCTGTGCTGGGGAACGAACGCTTTACTACCCTTTCCGGCGCGACAAACGCGTTCACTACCACACCATGCGGGTCCTTCGTTTCGGCTGTCTCTCATCTAGTGAGCAGTGAGCATTATATTTTTGCTAATGTATTCTGTGTGACCGCCCTGAAATAGAAAAATCGAAAATTTTGTATTCTCCGAAGTTTTTCCACATGTGTGCTTCCCTCCATTTCAGATACAGCACTATTATTTTAGTTCTTTACTATTTTTTGCGATAACTCTTCGTCTTGCTGTTTTTTTTTTGATAAGTGATTTTGATAAGCTGTTAGCGACAAGCCAACGCAGTTGGCTTAGTGTTTCTTTAGGAATAAAATTCCCAAGGTCTTTGTGAAGATACTAACATTCCGTATGCGGGGACTGCTGAAAGAAAAGCTAGCGTAGAGCCATTAGTAACATTCATTCTGTTGGTCTGTCACTGTGTACAATTCCTTTAGTATTCTGAAAGTATGATGTGGTTTTCGCACGTCAGGTAGTAATTCAACTGTTGTTTAAAAAAATATCTCTTTGCAATGGTTACCGAGAAACTAAAGCTTACCTACTCTTATTTCACTAATGCGATCTATGACATCTTTACAATAGTATAAAGTACACGCGGTACAAAGGACGCTTGTGGCGCAGTGCTTGGAAGAGGCACTGCGACACACATGTGGAATCGATTCCCGTACCCATGACCCACCAAGCTTTCCATCTCTTCCGGGTCGGCGAATTGGTACCAGACTTGTCTGGGAGGATAGCAGCACTGCCTCGACACATCGATAGGCCACCACGAGTCATTAGGTAAAGGCCAGATATGCAGTCAGTCACCTCCAACGATACTTGATGAAGTAGAATGCATGGCATATCCCTCAGGGATTGATCAACGCCGAGAGCTTTATCCTTTATCCTTTTATACGTAGTACAGGTCATACATATCCTTATTACTTATTTTAATAGCTAGTTATAGTGTTAATGTACAGCACATCCAATAATTATGTAGCATATTTTAGCAGATGGTACTGATTTTATGCGGATTTACGTCGCATTGTTCGCCTTGCAGGCCTGGATCAGGATGCGACCAGCTGGGCGTCGTTCGCGGTCGAGTGGAGCCGGCTGACGTGGTCCTTGCTGGCGGTCATCTCCAGACTCACCTCACGCTTCATCGACCCTCGCCACGTCGACGCCGACGAGCAGCAGCTCACCAAGCGTCTCAACATCAGGCTGTTCGATCTCATCAACAAAGTTCGACTCTGTGGCTTTTCCACTTGCTTACATTACACCAATGGAAATGTGATAGTGCGAAGCGAATTAAGTTCCAAACCTCGTGCGTCCGTTTTGAAGAGAGATTAAGACGGAACCAATTTATTAGTTCTTTTTCTCCATTTTGCTTTTTTAGCAGCTAGAATTTGGTAAAGAACGCCTTGTTTGTATGTCAAAGGTTTTGCAAATTCTGTTTAAAGAAAAACCGTTATTCTTTAAGGAAAGGGTCACAGGAGCCATACTTATGCTGTTCTAACTGTGCAGGTTCTTTCTTTCCTTCGGCTTCTGAGAAGCATTTATTATTGTGAAGGAAAATGTGATAGAAATCATTTTTTGAAGGAATGCGTGCTGACCAGTATTTCTGTATAGATCATTCCGTCATTGAGCAACATGACGAAATTCTTCCAGGCTCGTCCTGTTCGGCCACCTCCCAATATGCCTGATCACGACTACAAATGGATTCAGTTTTATGGTGTATGCATGTTTTATAACATAAAGTAAATCCTTTTCTTAAAAAAGAAGTAGGTGAAAATCGCTTATAAAGTTTTGCTTGAAAATAGTTGTATCTCGAAGCTGTCCTTAGTTTAAAACCGTCTAAGAGTGCTGGAAAAAGATTTCGCAGAAGATTTAGAAGTACAAATGCTGAGAAAAAAATAAACAAACAACCGATTTACAACATTTTCGTGTAGTTTGACAAGTTTTGTTCAGACTTTGACTTCAAGGATTTCTAAGGTTTATTAAATGTTACCTAGAATAACTTATTAAGTAATAACGATGGTCTTAGAGTGCGAGCCTTTTTTCTTCTGACAAAAAACTAAATAAGCCACGTACGTTGGAATGAAATCCATCGAACTATTTGTAAAAGCAGAGCCGTTCTCATAGTAATTGCGTCTACAAGTGCCTTCTGGATCTTGTGTCACACTAACCCTGGGGCGCTGTCAATCTCCACTCCCTCTCGTCCTCTCCAGCAACTGAATAGAGGAGTCTTATAAAACCCGACCATAAAACCTTCTCTAGGACAGGCTAAAACTGCGTGTTGTCTTAAAACTTTCCTTCATTTTAAATCTTTCAACACTGCGATCGTAAGTGCAGATGAAAATTAAGACACAATCTCATTTTTCACTAACTTATCGTTGTCCTAATGATTTGCTTTCAGTTATTGGCACCTACGCTCACTACTTTACACAACCTCTATTCACAACTTGATACACCAGTACAGTCCCTCGACACGGCTATCGCTACGTTTTCAGAGACGGAGGTACAGCGTCGTCACCTTACAGTCTGAAAGTTAAATAAAAATATGGTTTGCGCCAAATTGTCATTTGTCACTCCGAAATCGCGGGTGCGTGTAGCACTGTGGTCAGAGGTCCTGCGATACATAAATGGTCTTCGATTCCACGCTCCGAGCATACCGAGCCTTTGATACTATCGGTTTCGACAATTTGGTCCCAGACTTGTCTGGGAGGACAGCATCACTGATTCGATACATCAGTACGCCCTTTTCTCCAAGTCAGTGTGGTCCAAATATGCATTCAGTCACCTCCAACGATGCTTAGTGAAGTCGAATACATGGCGCATCCGTCAGGGATTGATCAACGCCGAAAACTTTATGCTATTGCACTTTATTACGAAGTCGCCATTGAATTAGAAATGGATTTGAATCAACTAGTGCACGAAGTGAACACGTATGTCGGTTTCTGTTTAACACAATGTTGCGGCAAGCTGTTGATAATCGATAACGATGTTTTTTAGGACTTTAACCTATCAGTTTTTCTTCATCTTCTCTTTACATATTATAACGTTGGAAAACCCGGATAGTATAACAACTTCGAGAGCCTAAAGCATTCTATTCACAATGTTATTATGACGAGAACTATGTTCACCTCCACTATGTGCTCTAAATATTCCAACCTTATAGCCATTTGTCTCCAATGAACACCAACGTTTTCAAAATCTTCATGTTTTATAGCCACTTTTTTCTACCACTCCACGAAAATGGACTTGATTACTCTGCGATCCGCGGCTTCGTTGATAAGTTAACAGGAAACTAGTAAACAAGAGGACGAGATTGCGTATTAAATAGTCTTTAGAATTTCTAAACATGGCTGAATTTTCAATAGATGGTAATAGATGGAAAAGTGAACTGTATTTTGCTACTTCAGCTGCGTCCATGTGTGGAGTCTTTTCGTGAGCTGTACAGGTCATACTCGTTAGGAATATTCGCTTCGTTGAGGAGAGCGCAACTCGACCGAATGGCGAATTTCAGCGAAATTCCCGACGAGAAATTGCTAGTGGTCACAGCATACTACACGTCCATGTTGTATACATTGGGAGTTCTCGCATCCAGATTACAGGTAAAGTGGTCAGCATTCAGTAAATTTGTGGGTTTTATTTTACCCAGAGACTTTGAAATGAAAGTGAGTTTGGGGAAGGTTTACGTCCCATAGAGCACATCTGGCGAGAAATACCTGTAGTATTTTCGAATGTTACTTATGTTGGTTTTTTAGAGTAAAAGTTCTGCACGAAGAGTGACACTGGTGAGAAATAACTTCAATGATGCTGAGATATTTGCGAAACTCCGGACCGTAGGTGTCTGCGGTGGGGAACGAATGCACTATTGTTCTTTCCGGGGACAAAACACTGACGTTATTTTTATTCATATGTTCTTATGAACTGGTCTTGTTGAGTTGATACGAGGTTGGTATAGTTGTCGTTGTTGTTGTTACTGTGTTTATTGTTGGTCGATAGCTGAGGTGCCGGCGATTTCGCTTTCCTCATAGCCATTCTGTTACGAGTGGGAGCACTGAGGTGCTCTTAACTGTATCGTCTCATTGAATGGGATAATTTCCCTTCGCTGCATCTCACTTTCCTACTGTGCAGATGGAGGGAGGGTTTTCCGGCGTGTTGCTGACACAGATCTTTCTTGGAATCAAAAAACGGACATGACATCTGATGTGAATCGATGATACGGTCGAAATCTAGAGCTACTGAAACTGTTATGTGTAGTGGTGAAATCGTTTTGAGATTCAGAGCAGTAGCACCATGAAATGGTTTTCTTTCATGTCCTTATCCAACGGAGAATAGGAAACACGGTGGTTATAGGTGCCGTGCAATAACACATGCATGGTAGCTTTTTCGACTCTGCGCCTTGCCAACTAAACGTCCTCTACCTACGGGTTGACCACATTGCTAGCAGACTTGTCAGCGAAAAGCAGTTTGCGCATCCACCACGTTAAAACTCCGGAGAGATTCACGGACGGCGGATGCGCAATAGCGGACCAAATTAGGCATGTGCTGAGATCTGTATATCATGTGAACTCGGGTCATGTAGGTGAAAGTTAAAATAAAGTTCTTGTCCAATTTCGTTGAATCTTTATTCCGGGATGTTTGCTCACTTCTCAAGTCATAACTGCAAGCAACTTCATCATATTCGGTCTCCTCTTAGTGTGAGTAATTTATGCGGGGAAGGAAATCTTGTTGTATATCTCAGTCCAGTTTTTGAAACTTTGAAGTAGCAGACAGTTGATCAAGGGCTCTATTATTACTTATTAGCGAATTAAATTTGCATTGTGGATGAGCCCAGGAATAGAAGTAGATGTCGTCCGTTGCACGTACTACTGTTGGGCAAACGTTTCATTGTTTGTACTTCGTACCATTAGAATTTTATTCTCGGCGTTGATAAGTTGAGTCATTTTTACACATTTTCACTCGGGAGCATGGGAACAAACATTAGCATGGCAATTTGATATCTATTATTTCATTATTATTTCATTGATAAGCCAACACGAGGTTGATAGAAAACCGACACTGCTGGGTGAGGTTCATTTGAGCGCTGCTCACTTAAGGGGATTCGATTTGGACGACTACAAGGACCCACGAAGTGAGGACGAACGGCTGTGTACCTCCTGAGAAATACGAAGCCGTCGAAGCAACCGAATAAATTTTTTTATGGCTCGTGTTAACTTATTAGTCAAGGAATATATATTAATTAGTCATACGGAAGTTAAAGGAAAGTCGGTTTTTGAAGTATTAGGATGACAGTTTCATCGCCTAAAAGATGGCCACCTAGTGAAATGAGAAGAAATTTCACTTAATAGAACCGGGAGAAGCACTTTGGACCGTATTCAATGAAATTCTTAAATTCATTGTTCATCTCACATCTTAAAAGTAATGTGCAATTGCACTAATGCTCACTAAGCCAGGAGATGATCAGATTAGTTTTAATGCCTACGCAGTCGTTTTTAGGGTTTTCGATTCGAATGGCAGTGCAAGTTTCCATACTCAATGAGCGATCCTGTTCGGAACCTACTCGACATCGTCTACTTAGCCGTAGACCAACTTGTAGCCGACTGCCTGTTCGCCGCCGAGCCAGCAACCAATGCTATTCTTGTCACAAACAACCTATTCCCCTTCAACTGCGACAGTCTTGCGCACGCCGTAGTGTTTAAACAATTCGACGTACAAATCGTCAGCGAAGAGACAGCACAAGCTATTCAGGTCAGTTGCACGACCAGCATTCAGGACACCTACAGTAGTTCCACTTTGGCTTGATAAATTTGCTTTGCTGTGGTGATGTGGGTGCACAGAAAGGAAAATAAATGCAGCGCTCTCACGTTTTCCTTATTTTCAGATTTATTTAAGCAATTCTTCCTTTTAGCTTACAAAACAGTTTTGCTGTTAGCCGTCGACTCGGTCAAATAACTATCCGCGTCCTTTTCTGGGGTGATGTTGTCAAGATGTTTCATGCGAAGGCAATCTTTTATGTTTTAAATTTTGTGAAACATCAAAATCTGGTGGATCAGTTCTGAAATACACGCAAGCTACGGTTATTGTTTATCATCAAAATCACATGTGGCCAAGCGTTGTCGTTGAGAAAATTAATTCAGTCTTTCCTCTTATTACAGGGCACTTCCCGCTCATTGTAGCCAGCTAAAGAATATGATCGTTGTTTTGCCTCTGGCCTCTTGACAATAGTGCTAATCGTAGCATGTCACGCAGTGCTACCAACAGAGAACCTGGTTGGAGTGTGGATAGGGTTGAAGTCAAGTCTTCCGTTTGGCTGACTATTCTCTGTACAGTATTTCGAAGGCCAGCATCCATGATTGCGGATAGCTCTCTCCATCCGTCATCACCAGAATCTCTTTTTAAAACTTCTTGTGTGGAGAAGCATAACCGACCTGCGAATCGAAACCCGAGGAGGTCGATTCGTGCGGAAATAGAGTCTATTGCACTATCAGTGTACGTTAAGTGGGTGTGTGCAGATACTCCAAGATTGTCGGTTGTTGAAAGTTATTCGTCTCCGTCAAATCGAACTGTTTTGATCCTGTCGTGGTTGACCTCGTATCCCATCGCCTTCAATAGCGATGTACCGACCACGTCCGTGGCTTGCAAATCCCATGTCACTGAACGGGAAGAGTGGAAGATAGCGATGGAGAAGTGCACTTTGCTCTCGCCCGGTAGAAAATAGATAGTTGCAACGACGTATACTGAAGCACTCATATTAAATGACCATTGTATTTTTATGCTCATATTTGATTTGTTTGTTTTTTATCCCTATTGCTTCTGTCTTCAGTACCTTATAGCTTTTTTCCGCAAGGTTCTACAATTTATTTATTTATATAATCTTATAAACCGATCTTCTTAAGCTGATGCGATGTTCGTATAGGCCTTCGTTGTCGTTGTCGTTGTAGTCGTTGCTGTTTGTATTGTTGATCGATGGCTGACGTTTCGGCGATTTCGCTTTCCTCGGAGTCGTGCTGTTACGAGCTGGAATCATATAAATAAATATATCAACTATCTATGCCGAGGTTTATAGAAAGTCGGCCTTTTGAATTCTACAAAATACTCGAGTACAACGTGGCCGTGGTCATGTGGAAAGGAAAAAAGGGATTCTAAAGAATGTTGTGTCAAATTTTTTGTCACATTCCAATTTCGGTTTGTTCAATAACTACCAGTAAGGAGAAATTACGAAAAATTAGAGGATTAACTTTATGTAACACTTGAGGCTAATGCAAAATGTCCTTGATTCGAGTCTCGGTACTCTTGTATTAACATTGTATTTTTTACTTATTAGTTTCATGCATTTCAAAAAGCAGTCGAAGTTTTTATAGATTTCATAGTTTGCTCACAATTATCTTTGTCCCAGCTAAGTTCCATTCGTGTTGTTCTTTTGCGTCTGCTCTCGAAAATGGTGTTCAGCATAATGACGTCAGCTTGCTTCTTCTCCATAATTCGTATCCATTTACGAGTGCGGCTGCTTGACGTTGACGAAAATCACAGTCACTTATGCTAAGACGATTCACTTAAACTTCTCCAGCTCCACCGTTCCTTCTCTTTTATCCATCATTGACTGCTCCTTACATCACCGTTTTTTTTTCTTGTTTCTAGATATTAATGTGTCGTTTTCTTGTTCAGCAATCGCGAGGTTTTTAAACAGCATACAATTACTTCCATAAAAACACAATACAATACAACACCAGCTGACGTTTCGGCAGTATCGCCTTCTTCAGAGCCTGGAAGGGTATGCTGATATACA